GAATTTTGTATTCTACAATATTGATAATAAATACAAATAGCAAAAAACCCATAGGAAATGAGATATTTCCAAAAAAAGCGCAAAAAACCAATTTTTGTGAACTTTGACCTTGAAATTTAATAGTTGCTTACACCCTACCATATGTAGGTTTTGAGACAACTTTAAGGGTGTCAATATACAAGTATTTACAGACTTACAGCTGGGTATCTCGAATTCCGAGATTCTTACCTAATTTAAGCTTAAATGACTGGATTAGTTGGCAGATAAAAAATTTTAACCAATCTGGAGGTTGGTCTAGGTGCATTGAAATTCAGTTTTTGCAGAACATGTGGGTCAATGATTAAATTATTAATCAATCCAATTGGTGGAGAGATATTGTCTGTTCTATAAAAGAGAAGTTGTACGTTGTATGTTGTACTGATTCAACTTTCTCTGTATACCACTGACCAGATGGATTCCAGATTATGGATGCATATTCTAATTCTGATGTGACGATAGCATAGTATAAGGTTTTCGATGTAGATAGATCCGCAAAATCTCTGGAGATTGACAGACAGAATGGCTTCAACTTGTGGTACGAAGGAAAGTTTTGTGTCGAAGGTAACACCTAGATCGGTGAATGTGAGAGGTCGTTGAAGTGGAATATCGTTTATTGAATTACTGCGAAAACACCATTGCTCAACAAGTTTCAGATTGAAAGAGAGTTGAAGACAGTCCTCGATGCCATTGATCTCACCATATAATTTCAGGTGTTCCGCGGATATCAAAAAGTTGATGTCAATGACCTCAACTATGTAGTTTATGAGGGCGTTAAAGAGAAGTGGACCTAGGTTGCTTTCTTGTGGAACAGCCGAGGAAGCGGCAAATTCCACGGACTTGAAACCATTGAACATAAGATACTGACGCCTGTCAATAAAGTATGATATAAAAAGTTGGATCAGGGTCAGAGAAAATCCATACCTGTACAATTCCGACAGCAGTAATCCGTGATCTATTCTGTCAAACGCCTTAGAGAAGTTCGTATACAGCCTGCCTCACGGCCTGAGCCGGCCTTCCACTTGTGCATAATATAAATTTATCAGTTGCTGTGGAGTCAATACGTGTTTAAGATTTCTAAACGTATAGTAGATCGATGAGAGCTCAGAGCACAACAAAAACTTTGTAATAAAGTAGTGGGGGAACTCAAATCAAAGACCGTTTGGCGAAGTATAATTGTTATTCTACTGATGCTGTTTCGATACCAACAAATACCACTATATTTCAGAAATGTCACAAATATATTGCTAATATATTACATAGTTGCATCGATGAGTTCAGTTGAAACTTTGTCTGAAGCCACTGTTTCTCACGTAGTTAAGTATGTTTTATTGAAGAAAAAAACACCTTTATGATCCAAATTTATTAAAAAAAACTGTATCTATCTATTCATAGGAACTCTGACCATGAACTTGAAATTTTGTTTCAAATACAAGTATGAAAATACTCCTATTTTCAACTGAATCATTCTTCACATTTCAATAGATTTCTTGAAACAGTTTGATCAGCAAGACAGTTTTTTATCATGACGCAAAACAAGCGAATGCCTTTACTATTCAATTGTTCATTGCAAAACATTTTTTTAAATTCTCCTGCTTTTTTCATGGCCGCATTCTGTATAAATATCTGTTTTTCCTTTGAACACCTGTCGCTCCTCTACGAAGGACAACCCTTAGAAGTCGAAACTTGTGGGAGCTGAGGATTACTGAGGCTTTATCTTTCAATGTGCGATTAAGGAGAACAAAATCAAGCCATACCTATGCAAAGGCACAGAAATGCTATTTCACACTTAATAACATACAAATGAACGACGATAAATGAAGCAACTTCGAGCTAACGTTTGTATGAACTTTTTTCATGAAGCATAATACAGCATCACCCCCGAAAATATCATCCATACAAAATCAAAATGGTACACTGATTAACTGAAGATGACCCTGATCGAAGAACAGAATTCTGCGAAATCATGACGGAAACCATCTCCACAATATTTGTTTTTGTGACGAATGTACATTTTTTTAAAACGGCAATGTTCACAGACAATATTGCCCTTAATGGAATGACACCAGTCCTCACGTTTTCCGGGAAACACATACCCAATATCCAGAAAAAATTAACGTTTGGACAGGAATATCTATGACTTCCGGTATTTGCCAAAACTCTAGTCAATTTCTGAGTATTTCTGAGCCAGAAATGAAAACATTACGCGAAGGAACATTTTCTCTTAGAGTGAAGCGCAGTAAGTGAATATTCTTTCTACTGAGGAAACTGTTATCAAGAAATCAATCATAATTATTTTCTTATTTCGGCAGTATTCATGATGTACGAACAACAAACGGGCTTACGAGTTAGACCCGCCAACATCACGGTGTAGTGTCATAGTACTTTCACTAGGTGTTTTGAAGCAGGAAAACTCAAAAATACCCTCATCTTCCCCAAACTGTTCCCCATCCTTCAACGTCACTGGTAGTGTTTTGTTCAGAGTTTCTGGCAGGAATAAACAAGCTATTGCACCGAGAATCAGTAGAACTCCCAGTATAACTTTCGGTGCTGGTTCCCAAGTATTCGACAAATAAAGAATCTGCGGACTGAAAAAACTAGCAGCATACCCAGTGACGTGGATGACTGAGACCCCTTGACCCCTCACAACGGTGGGGATCAGTTCCACGGCGTACTGCGCTCCAGAATTGTAAGCCACGTTGATGCACAATCGGGAAATAATTGCCAATAATATGATAAGTATTGGATCTGGAGTTGTGATCAGAGCCAGTATTGTTCCAGAACAACTGGTGAATATTCCGCTGAGCAGCAGAGCTCCACTCGCCAAAGTTTTCCTTCCTACTTTGTCTTGGAGGGCTGAAATGAACAAGCAAGCAGGCAGAATTGTCGATGAAGTTGCTGAAAACACGACGAAAGGTGAATATGCTAGGCCGTTGACGTCACGTGAAATTGCGTCGTAGCAGAGTGTCATCACCATTCTGAAAATATAGATAAAGGAATCAAAAAACAATTTATTGTGAGGTTTTCACTAAACAGTTTTACAAAAAAGGTTTCGCCATACAATTGCTTCTTCGGGCGTGTTTGTACTATATTTATAACGATAGTATGGCCACTCTAATTGTTGTATCGCCTCGAAGGCAACTATATTGAATAATAAATCAAATTTTATAAGAAAAAACTATGTTAGCCTACTAACTTTTCAGCTGTTATCAGGTATCCTTATTTTTTATAACACAAATGAGATACAGAATACTGTTTCAATTCAAATGGATTTGAAAATGAAATGTAGGCAATAAAGTAGTAATCTATCGTACTGTACTGCCTTTCTCAACTCAATCAGATCAAAAATTCAAAAATACTTTATTATACATTTCTCTTTCACAAATACAGAGTGGTCCAACGAAAAGTATGCACCTTGCTTTTCTCCTTTTTTTGTAACTCAACGCAAAAATGCTCGGACAGGTCAATTTTGCTTTTAAGGGGGACACATTTAAGATGTTTTTTTTTACCTGTACCTTCAACCCCCTAGCGAGGGTGAGTAACAACCCTAAAATTTTAAATGGAAAGTGGGGTCGAGTGATATATCATTTCAAAGGGCACAAAATTATCTTTCCAATGATACCTAATTTGTTGTATTTCACTCAAACATGTAGGTATTATGAAGAAAAACAACTACAACACAGTACTTTGAAATGTGTAATTGACTTAGTAGAATCCTACTTCAGCAAGTGCTGAAAATGTGACCCATTTGCTTCCATACAATAATACAGATTTTGTTCAAACTGTTGTTATTTGAACCAAAAAACGCACGAGAGAAATTGAGGAATGTGGTAGTGATAGAAATGCCGTTTTTTCCGCATTTTCATTAACACCAAAAATATCGAGTAAATGTTCTTGCTTTTTCTATAACTATTCAAGTAAATACAACAAATTAGGTATCATTGGAAATTTGATTTTGTGCCTTTTCAAATGATATATCACTTGACCCTACTTTCCATCTAAAATTTTAGGGTTGTTACTCACCCTCGCTAAGGGGTTGAAGGCACAGTTGAAGTACATCTAAAATGTGTCCCCCTCAAAAGCAAAATTGACCTGTCCGAGCATTTTTGCGTTAAGTTACAAAAAAAGGAGAAAAGCAAGGTGCATACTCTCGATATAAGGTCTACTGTACAGAAAATTTACAATATTTACATCTCTTCCACATACGGGAGTTGTAAAGGAGGGGAAAAGGATTGGTGAGGGAAAAGGGAGGATTAGCAGGATGAGACTTCAATATTGAGCCCCTAGACGTCCGTAAGGTAAAGCGCCGCCTCATAGACCCACGACAGGCCGATGGGAGGCGCCCCCGCTGGTGTTAACGGGTGGCTCTCTGCCCAACAGAGCCTCATTTCAGTTTTCAGTCTGAGACTTCCCGCTTCCTGCCAAAGCTTACGCGAGATTTCTCATGATATTGCGATTTCGGTACCTCATATCTGAATATACTAGATGGTGGTTGCAAGTTCATCCCTAGCCCCCTGGAAAAAGTTCATAAAAAAACCGGTAAGAGTAATTCTTGTATCACGAAAATACGTGATTTATCTTAGCCAGCTTTTCCATGAGCTGAGCGCGATCACATTCGCGCCGTTCATGGAAGATATCAAGCATTTCATAAATCAACCCGCGTTTTCGGGGTTGATTATGATAACTCCTAAGCGCCGTGACGTCCCTCGTCAGCGGGCTTTTCGGTAGAAAGAACTTGAAGAATTTATAAGACAGCCTCCTGATGTGTTCAGTGACCGTCTCGACTTCTGCCAGATCTAACAGATCATTCAATAAAATGTATCTGTCACTGTTCGTGCAAATACGGAGCACCTTATTCTGCATTGTCTCGAGTCTCTGCAAAGGAGTCTTCTTGAGGCTACAGAATATGGGACAGGCGTACAACATTGCTGGTCTAATTGTTTGTTTGTAAATTAGCAGCTTAGAGTTCCGTGCAATGAGCGGGTACGTTCGTTTTACCGCCGCACCCGCTTGTTTGATCGCCAAGCTCAGATGTTCCTGAAAATTCAGGCGCCTATCCAGGATAACTCCCAGATATCGCGCGCTTCTCTACTCCTCAAGCATTTATCTTTAACTCGTAACTTCCTGAAGATCTTCACGTTGGTAAATTTCTTCGAGAAGTTGACGAGTTCCGTTTTGTTAGGGTTAACATACGCTCGAAGTACGGCACGACCAACCTGTCGAGGTGGATCTGAAGCTGTTGCTTCGCCACCTCGCTCGAGAACGAATGCGCGTGTATCGCAGTGTCATCTGCGTATATACCGACATTTGTTCTCGAGAACATAGGAAAGTCGTGCGTATAAAGAGAGTACAAATGCGGTGACAGGCAGGACCCCTGCGGGACACCTGCTTCCATTGGATAATTCGTGGATTGAAGAATCCTAATCACGAATAAGGGCATGTCTGCCGACCACATCTTGGCGACAAATCGCTCTATCCAAACTCTATCCAAAGCTTTTTGGATGTCCAACAGAACCATAACTGTATTCTTCCTCTGATTGAAGGCTTCCTTCACCCCGTGACAACCCGGATCACTTGAGAAGTCGTATTCCGACCTCGCCGGAACCCGAATTGATCCTCGGGATCAATATCTATATAGATAGATAGATCGGGCGATAGCTATCGATACGATGTTGCCGTTTTCTAGACTTATGGATGGGGCTTTATTTTTCCCCAGGCGCCTAATGGTTGCAATCTCCTCCTCGACGTCCGTGATCCACTTCAACAATGTCGGCTCCGGTATCGTCGGCAACGGTCTGCTCAAGATGTTATTTGCAGTGCAAGTGGTGGCTCTGTGTTCATCACAGACGTCGGGCCTAATTTGGTGGACACTGGCGAAGTATTCTCCAAACAACTGAGCCTCCGCAAAGAGTGATCGTGGACGTTAAGGCTTTCGAGTTTTTCCCTCCACTTCCTGTTGGTGAACTCTCTTATGCGCTCGTCAGCCTCTGCAGCAAGTCTCAGCATTTGATCCTTGCTACGGGGGTCACGCGTTCTCTGCCAGTCCTTGCGCATCCGATGTTTTCGCCTAACGAGCTCAACAATATCAAGAGAAAGAATATCTCGATCAACTTCCACCACGACCTTCCTCGTAGACACCTCTCTAGATCTTCAAATATTTTGAACGAACTGCTCACAAATTTCATCAATATCATCCTTATCAATGTTACTTTTGATAACGGTGAGATTGTTCATGGACGCCCTGTACTCAGACCAGTCCATGCTGTTGTAGTCATATTTGACCCTTTTTGTTGGCCTTTCTCAACTAAGATTCTAGACAATAATTTTCAAACAGAAATATATTTCATGAAGGAAAATACCTTGATTATTACTATTGTTGAATATATTCAACAATATTTTCTACTTTCTACACCATTATCTTCACTTACGAGGGAGGTTCGATAAGTCTCCGACCTGAACATGAAGATGGCAGCACTGGTAAATAAAAGCTAGTGAATTTCGTAGATCATTTGTTGACAGTTTCTCACCTAAGTTTTAGCCATTTTGGACACGCAGCTGTTATGTAACAGCTGGTTGAGTGAATTGATATGAGTGTTTTTATGAAAATGGACAAAATTGAGTTTCGAGCTGTCATTAAATATTTGTTTTTGAAAGACATTACGCCAACGCAAATCAAAGATGAGTTGCATCCTGTATATGACCATCATTTTTACCACAGTGAAATTTTCAGCATCTTATTCAAACTTTGCAATTAGAGCTTTTTTTTGAGCACTACAGCACAGCACAAGCACTACAGAAAAATCCTCAAGGCGATCTTAGAGCGGTGCCTGTGCGAAAGTAGTGTTCCACATTGGATTTGAATAGCTGGAGATTAAATCATTTGGTGAAACGTTCTCAGGAAGTATATTCCATATAAACGCAGTTATCCAAATGGAAGAGTTTTTGAACAGTGAAGTTCGAGATGTACTGAGTTGAACCTCAAAACGATGAGCAGTCACAGTCCGTCGCGTATTTCTGATATGTACCGCTCTTGGTTGAATCAAATGTACCAAGGCACTTGAACATTTCCCATGAAAGTATCTATAGAAGAGAAACAAATCTCCAACCTTTCTTCGATGTTCCAGGCTATCAAGGTTGCAAGTGATGTTCGCGTCTCCAGTCAGTTGGATGGCTTTTTTCTGGATGGAATCCAGCAACTTCAGGTTATGTTTGGGGGTGGAGCTCCATACATGACAACAATACTCCAAAGAAGGTACACTATTATATGCCCGAAACAAAAAGACAGTCCAAGCAGTGAACTGCAAAGGGAAAACCAGCTCCAAAAAAGCAAAAATTGTCTGTTTTTTGAGTTAGTCATGGACTTATTTCAATCGATTATCTGCAAAAAAGAAAAATCATCTCACACCTGTGGTTGCCATGGCGAAAATCTACGAATTATGATTTGAACTGCTTGACCATCCGCCTTACTCACCAGATCTAGCCCCAAGCGACTTTTTTTTGTTTTCTTATCTAGAAATTGCGCTCGGAGGACAGTTTTTTCTGTCAAATGAAGAGGCAATCGTCTTCTTGAACAATTATTTTGCAGAGAAAAACGGCGAGTACCATTTGGACAGGTTACAGAGAAGGGAGCATGTCGAAAAATCAACAGACCACTCTTGTAATTATTGAATTTTTGCACATTTTATTGGGCATACTGTTTACTTATTGTGTTACAGTATTTTTCATGTATGATAACTATTCGTTTCTAGATGTAATCAGGTCGTTTGACAGGCGAAGGGTAGGAATTGTTCGAAATTTTCAATTGTTACCTTGAAAGTAGAAACCAATTTGTCAATGTCGATGTCACTATTAACCAACAACAAATTTGTTGTGGTGTTCCCCAAGGCATAGCTTTGGGTCCTTCATTGTTTGATATGTATATTGATGACCTACTTATATTGAACATCGGAGCTGAAATTATTGGATAACCAATATTCTTGGAGGCAGAAACCTGGCGTTTACTTGTGGAAAAAGTTGAAATAAACCTCAAACCACTTAACTGGTTTGACCACCATCTTTTGAACAGTTATTCTGGAATGAAAACCATGTTTTCACCTCTCAGCTCATACAGAAATATTGAAGCTAGCAATAAACAAGATGACAAAGTTAAAAATCACTCTGTGAATGACATTGAATATTTGAAATGGAACTGTCACATGAAATACAATATAAACTCCGGTCAATACAACACAGATTTCAACTACTGAAAACATATTTATCAATGAAGGAAACGTAAAACTAGTTAATGTTACACGTGTCTACATGAATTTTTCATCATCTCCAGTACCCAGTTTTATACAGGATGCCAACACTAGTTGTTTTAGGTTATCCACTTCAACGATTCGTATTCCTACTTACGATTTGAATATGAGGATGAGCGTCTTTTTTCTGAGCTTCGGCGTCTTGAGTAGATCCAAAAAACTTTCGTGGTGCTTTTCAACAGAAACGTGCTTTTCGCAATATGACCTCAAACCTAGTATATTCTCTTCATCGATTGATTTCTTGTTGATTTTTGCCACTTTTCTGAAACATTGTATGGCATCGTCTGTTCTTCCTTTACTGATAAGCCACTGTGCACTTTCGGGCACCAGGAAGTAGAAAAAGAGTACCAACAGGTGCGGTACAGATACGAATAAGAGAAATTTCTTCCAGTTACCCATTAATACGGCAACCCATGGAACTATCATACAGGAAATGCAGTAGAAAACGCCTATGCTGATATTTAACCCCACGGTTCTCATACTTGGCCGAATATATTCCATCACTGGAACAAAAAATACTAATTCAAACATTCAAACATTCGTTCAAAATCCTTACCTATTATGTACATCATGAAAAAATTCGAATCAGTCGCCAGCCCCGCTACAAATCGACTCAAAGCAAAGATAGTAACGTCCTTCGATAAAATCGTAGCGATATTTCCGAAAAATGCCAACATATTGGCAAAAATAAGGACGTGAAGACGTCCTATCACGTCTGCTAGAATACCAAGAACCAGACTGCCTATTACTGATCCAATGAAAAATATCGATTGGCCAAGAGCTGGTTTCCAATCTTCTGAACAAATCCAGCCCAACTGAAAGAGAAGAATAACATTTAACCACCAAAACCCTTTTTGAACCCATTCGTTACAGGTATTTCTATTTGAGGTATAATCTATAATTGTGAAAAGAAATAGAATATATACTACTCTGTTAAATAAGGTGAATTTTAATTTTCTCAAAAAATAATTATTTATTTATCAATTTCTATTTTGTCCTTTCGAAGTAGTATCTCCCAGATATAATAAACCTGCCTGGTTTTTCCCAATCCTGGAAGCAGTTCTAACACGTACTTTTTGGTATGACCTTGAGCCCTCTCAGTGGCTCGTTTTTTTAAACTCCTTTCGTCTCGAAGTAGGAATATTCCACCACACTCCAGAATGATTTGGTATGATCTTCCTTGTAGTGGAATGCTTTTGATACTCTCAAATGTTCTTAAATATTCTAGAACTTTCCGGTGGAAAAAACTTTCTGTCCTTATATCTTCAAAAGCATGCCCTTCAGATAATAACCGGATAGGGAGAGAGCTACCACAACTTCAAACTCCCACAATACCTGGAATTTCAGGGATTTTCACAAAGTTTACACCAGAATCCAGAATTTTCCGGGATGTTCTGGAATGTTATGAATGATTTCGAATGCCCTCGAATATTATTTGAATACAACAAATACTTCAACTATTATTCGAAGGTCTATCGCCCTATTAGATCGCTTCGCGTACCGCACTGCCACTTCCACTTGACTGCCTCGATGAGCGAGTGGATGACGCTTATAGTTGGCAATCGAAAGCGCTGGAAAATTCCTCAGAATTCCATCGAAGTCGGTAGAATAGCCGCGGAATGTCGGTCTAACTGATCGCGCTCTTCGCCACGTCACAATTGGTATATGGCTACCAGTGGCAGCCGGCGTTATTTTCTTTAGGGTATGTAAAAACAGAAACCTTCTTCACGGAAGGAGGATGTATGTCTTTGGATGTTTTAGAATATTCTGGATTGCTATCGAATAGTCTCGATTATTGTGGATTATTTCAGAATGTTCCAGAGGTCGAAATATCCAGTTCTCGCTCACTTAGTGATCAAAAGTACGTCCTTCAGGTAATCATGAACACTTTCTTCATGACCAAGCGGATGTGACACCATGATAAAATAATGTAGGCATATAGGTATGTCCAAGTATAAAGCCTAGAAGAACATTAAATTATAGGCCTTTATAATCATGACAATTATATGGGTAAGAATGTCATTCTTGGTTAGATTATATATTGAAAATAAATGAGGTTCACTGTTAAGAGATATATAAATGTGATTTGTAATCATCTTCATCTACTTTCCTGTCGACTGTGTCTATTCCAAGATGAATAAGAATTGTAATTGTCAAAAAAATCCGGTAACATTCAATATATTGATATTGATCAATATCAATATCAATATCAATATCACTATCAATATAAATATCAGTATCGGTATCGGTATCGGTATCGGTATCGGTATCGGTATCGGTATCGGTATCGGTATCGGTATCGGTATCTGTATCAGTATCAGTATCAGTATCGGTATCGGAATCAATATCAATATCAACATCAACATCAACATCAACATCAACATCAACATCAATATCAACATCAACATCAACATCAACATTAACATTAACATCAACATCAACATCAACATCAACATCAACATCAACATCAACATCAACATCAACATCAATATCAATATCAATATCAATATCAATTACAATATCAATATCAATATCAATATCAATATCAATATCAATATCAATATCAATTGAATTTATTGGAGCCTCTGGAGACACCCTATATTTTGTTTTATAAAAGAGAGGAGATTGTTAGATCAAGATCTTCAGATGATGTGGTGCTGCTGGTTTTTTCGGGTTTTCCTGCAGCTGAAAAAGCAAATGCGCCACTGGAATCAATGAAGTCGCCCCGGAGCGCCAATTAATTTTTATTGTTGTTTTTATTCAATTTTTATCGTTGTTTTAATAAAAGTTTATGTTCAAAAAAAATATATCAATATCAATATCAACGATTCAACTTAATTCTTTTTCAAGTCATTGGCAGAATGGAATTATATCCAGAACAAGCACTTTTCCCATCCACCAGAAATGCAGTACTACTCTCTACGCGTGTTCCACTAAGAAAGTTGACGTCTTCAGGACATCAGTTTTCTTATTCAATGTCACCAGTTACTTAATATAATTTGACATAATGTGTAACTGCTACTGATGTGTTACAATTTGAAATCAAATGATTTTCTAACATCCGTGCCAGATCAAAATATTCCATAGTTGATAGATCAACTCACAAAACTTCATATTGATAATTAGTTTCGTACGTTATGAAATCAGATCATCCTCAGTGGAACAGTTATGCTTTTTATCAACTTGCCTCTTCGATTATTCCAACATAACCGTAGGTGTTATCCTTGCAGAAACTCCATCCATTGGGGCAAGAAAAACTGTCCAGTGAACCATTGGAATGCGTTTCGGATACATCACATTTGCCTACAGTAACGTTTTCTCTTTCTGTATCGAAATCGCATTTGAATTCGGGAATCACACTGATGAAAGTTTGCCCGAAATAGTGAAAAGCCGATAGGAAGTTTATGAAACTGAACAGTATCAGTAACATCACCTGAGCTCTTCCGAAGTCGCCGACATGACTTAGCATGGAATCGACGTTCAGAATTTCCTCCATTTATTCCACCAATAGCACCTGTAAGAAAATTACACTAATCAGTTTGATTGAGAATTTACAATGCAAAAATTGTTTGGTCGACAGTGATGAAACTATAGTTCGGTGAAAAGTTATTTTGAGTTCATTTCTTGGAGGTTGAATCACAACACAACATAAAAATATTTTTTGAATGTTTCCTACACTAAATTAGTCAATTTCTACTAATTTTGGGGTGATAAAAACGAAAATAACAATGAAAAATTTTTATTAGCTCTGGTTTTTGAGATACACAGTACTTAATCTTAAAGAGTAGTTATACTATACGTGAAAAGTGAAAGTACATAAAACAATATTGTTATGTTTCTTTTAGAATATTTTAAGTACAAAATTAATA